GATTGATTCAAACTGTATACATATGTATTAAGATCATTAATCAAATTATCACATTCTATATTTTGACTATCAATAAAATTCATCAAAGTATTAATCTTTTTAATTTCTTCACAATAACCACGATGGATACTACATTTCTTCATACATTAAAAGCAATTCAATCTAAATTCTGTACAATACTGGTTGTAACAAACTGTTTCTATCTCATCCTTATGATCATCTTGCTAACATTTTAATTTTAAATTTGATTACGAAAACCATTTTTTAAACATTTTATATCTAATATATATTCATTCAAACTTTAATTTATATTATCTTAATTCTATTAATACTCAATATAATATATAATCCTTTTTCTTAAGATTTATACAAATGATTAAAAAATTACACTTAATATATACAAAAAAATATAAATATTGCTTAAGAATAAATGAAAAAGCTTATTTTTAAACGATTGAATAAAATTTATAAACTCCCCTCTTAATCCACACTTCTTTTTGGTCTTTTAATAAACTTAGACACAGAAAAGGAATATTCCAGTTTCTCAAGAATTATTATACACCATTTACAAGAATAAAGCTTGAAATAATAATCCAATATCTTTCTATTCAATTTATAAATATTTTATTTATATTATTCTAGCATAAAACTGATTTGAAATCCTTTATTGATAAATTATTTGATTGATTTACCAGTAAAATTATCTAATTTACATCTAATGCTATATTGAGTTGTATGATAATTTAATATTGCTTATATCCATAAAAATTATAATGTTGTTAATTTTTGAGACTTTAATTAAATATGATATCTCATAATTGAATTAAAATATAATTAAATAGATTTCCTATTTTTGAAATCCCCTAATTATGATTATTCTTTAACATTTATATCAAAATTATGATATATAGATATTAACATATTTTAGATAGACTTTTGTAAATTAATTTAGATGATTATTTCCTATCTTATTTTATTACTAATATAGAATTAGTTTATTTAATATTCTATCTATTTAATTGAGTCCCATTTTTTTCGTATAATATTCAAATTATTATGATTATTGTTAAGTTATAATAAAATTAATGCTTACTGTTATTGTGGCTAGCCTTATTAATAGAATCTTCTTCTAATTTACTTTTCATAAAACTTGTTTTGAAATCAATTGCTTTTTTCCATATTTAATTTATACATCTATCTAATGTAATTAAGTCTTATCAAAGTATTTTTAATTTTTATCAATCTAAATTCCACTTTACTAGATTCTCTGTCATATCTCAATTAATTATCTGTTTCCTTTAACATAATCTAATGTATATTCCATCCAATTAAGATTTCTTTATATTTTCTTAATATATTATATTTAAGTGTTGATTTGTTCAATCAAATATTTTGCAGTAATTTATCATCTTTTTTAAAAAGGGAATATTGATCAAAAACTAAATATAGTGCTCCATTTTCAATTTGATTTAAAATTTCTATAATATTTATTAGATGTACTCCCTAGCTCCAAATTCATTTCTTCCATTCAATTAGCTGTCATTATTTTAAGAAATATTTTCTATGTATCTAAATCTCTCAGATTTTATTAATTTCTCATGAATGATATTTTTAACATGGTGTCATCCCTATCCTCGTTTCTAGGATCAATTTAATTTAATCCTGATTAAACTCATCTGAGGTAAAGCTATGTCTAAGCATTTTATTAGAAAATTTATTTCAGATTAGATTCCTAACATTAAAATTAAATTGAAATTTGTAATAAATAAAGCAGAATTAACCTTCTTTTTAACAAATGAAAGAGATTAAGTGAACATGATATTTTTATTCTTGCTTGATGCTAAAAAGATGAATAAAATCATAATGCACTGTTGGATTATTTGCATATTGAGATTTTAATAAAAAATAAAGATAGGAAAACATCTCATATTGTGAAGGAAATTTATAGGACTTGAGGTAATTGCTTGTGCATAGAATGATAATTCTAAGTTTTGTAAGTATAGAAAGAATCTATTTTAAATGGATTACTAAACATAATAAAATCACATAAGAATAAAATTAATGCAGAGAGTTAGGTTACTATGAAGTAGTAAGATTTAATATAATTGCCAAAATGAAACTTTTTTTGTATCAATAATGGGAAAAATTATTAATACCTAAATATCATTGATAGAAAATTAAAATATGTCGAATGAATTGTTTGGGTCTTAAGTGAATCTACTCTTGTATCCAATATCAAAACCATAAAAATGCATATTTATAGAACTCTTTTTTAGAGAAAAACGTTCAATATAAACCTGCAAATATAAGAGATCTATTGATTTTCTATTAATTCTAATAAATAATCAATTACACTAAATATATTTTACTTATGTCATACTATTTGCAAAAAGTATTTAATTACAATGATATCAATACTTCTTGGGATATAACGACTAACTCTTAAGGCTAAGCACTTCACTGCTTTACATCATTCACTAATGTTTAAATATTAATCTACTCTGATTAAGTAGCAATAATAGCTGAACAATTTAATATCATTCCTCTTAGAAGAATATCTTAATATTGTTCATTATTTTAAATATCTAACTTATTCTAATTAATTTAAATATAAAAATGAAAGAGTTCAAAATAGAGTTTATTAGAATTAAGTAAATTTATATTATTAAACAAATACTAGAATATTAGTTAGGAAAAAACATATTAGGAAATAATAAATAAGTAAATTAACTTCACTCTGATTTAAAGAATTTATAGGTCTTTAAGAAAGGATTTAGATTTAAATTTATGGATTCAATTATAAATCAACCTCTCAAACTTGTAATTTATATCAAAGTACTAAGATAATATATGAATAATTAAAATAGTTGATAAATATAGAAAATTTATATTATTCAGGATACTAATTCAATAAATTAATTAGCAATTAAAAAGTGAAAAGTTATATCGATTCAAAAATATTATTAGGATATATTGAAGAATTACCTTTATGTTCAGGATTTCAATTAACTCAATCCATTTGAAAGAGTTTAAATTATTATTTGATAAGGATCAGAGTTATAAAATTGAATTAACAAAAAATCAAATAGTGACTTAAGCATAGCCTCACTCTTCTTGATTAAATAATAATATTGCCTTTGTCTACTCATAATTGAGCTTTATCTGAAAAGTTTAAAGACAACTATTAAATAAATGTAGAATAAGATTAGAAAATACAATTTATTTCAGAATAATATTTATACTACTTATAAATGAAGAATTTGTAAGTGATGGGATATTTTAATTTAATTATGTTTTGATAAGAACAAAATAAAAAGGATAACTCTCCTATTCTTAATGATGAAGAATATGAGAAGTAATTAAATCCTTCTTTAGTTTTTTTTTTAATAAAGATTTACTAAATTGAATATCTTTCTACAAAATAAAATTTAATCAAGACTTTGCTTTCATGTAACTATTTTTTACATACCTAAGGATAAGAAATTATTTTCAATTAAAGAAGCCAATCATTAAAATAAATAATGTATTTTCAAATCATCTAATGATTGAATTGATTTAAATATCCATATATTGCTTATCATTTTCTTTGTTCTGAGCTCAAGAAATGAAAAAATCTTGTAAAATCAAAGAATATATTTATATTTTGATCTCCTTCTCTTCATTTTTAAGCAGTATCTATCATATAGAATAACTAGAAAACGAACTTGTGAATTATATAATTTTTATTTATTATTTATTCTGTTGCTTTTTTTAAACAGATTCTTATAATTAAAAAGTGAACAAAAATTTGGAGTAGAACAGACCAAATGGTTCACAGTTTCAAAGATTTTGGAAAATATAATTTTAGGTTAATAACTTTTGTTAGAAGATCACATTCAATCCTGATGAATTTGTAGGTTCAATGTTCAAAAAAGTAAAAGTGATTGGTAATTCATAACGCCATAAATGTATAAGTCAGTTATTTTCGTATTATAGTGGAAGCATATTAAATATATATAGAGAAAAAGACCTTGATTGAAACTTGACGTAGCTGAGATTCCTTTCCTTTTGAGAGAATATTCCATGATAAAACAAAAATAGTAATCATTATGACCTATTTAGAAGACATATGGCATTTGTTGATTTTGGATTAACAAAATTTTCGGCATTTGTAGATTAATTCTATAAGGAAAAAGCTTAAGTTACTGCTTAAGCGAATGAGAGAATTTTAGGTTCAAGAGATAATGGTTGCTTATTATTCCTAAAATTTTTGCTGCATGATTCGAATTGTAATCAGGAGGTCTTAATGTAAAAAAAAAAGAGGAAATTTATGATTATTTTAAGCAATAGAAAAAAATATAAAAAAGATATTTTCTTTTCATACAGAATCTCCGATTAATTTAGTTATGATGCCTTTTATAATTTAATAAAAAGAAAATATTTTGAATAAATGACATAATAAGTATTTAATAAAATTCAATAATAATAAAACATTTATTAAATTAAGTTAAAATTTGAAATTAAAATTGTAGGAGGAGCAAGATAAATTTTAAATTTCTAAAGATTATTTGAAAAATCTTTTGTTAATCAATATCAAACGGTTGTGCAATGATGTCAATTTAAGTCACTAAATACAAAAATGAATATTACAATTATTATCCAATAAGAGTATGTCTGGTCTATAGATAATATTTAAGTTTAAAAGATTAAAGCAAAGGATTAATTTGATATTCACTAAAGTTACTCTCTTTTATGATCTTGTGCCTGAAGGTTTCAAAGCTGTTTTATGAAATTTTTATTTATAATCTATTTTAAATAATGTGCATCCACAATATCCAAATCACCAAAAATATCAACAAAGATCAAAATCCTAGTAGTTCATAAAAGGTTTTATAATAAGAAGAAACTCCTTTCACTTTCTATCGAAAAAATCTTATTGAACTTTTATTTCATTAAGAAAGCGAAATTTAAAACTAAGTTTAATTTGTTTAAGAAACTCATTTCAAGAAAAATAAATTGTAATGTTGTCAATGGCAATTATCCCTAATAAAATAGACCAGATTTTAAAGCCAAAGTTATTAAAGGAATTAGATGAAAAATATGTATTAAACTTATGTGATTCAATAGTCAGACTAAAAGAATCAATAAAGATTATAATCTAATTCCACTGATGGATCTTTTGTTTTTATGAAGTAATCTTACCTATTACATACTATAGGAAGAATAATTTGCTCATATCACACCAAAGTAAAGATAAGTATTTGCAAAAGAAGTAATTTTTTTAAATTACATTTCAATTAAAGCAGAAAAAGCTGTCAGATTCACAATTTAATGTATTATGTTTAAGCTATAATATTTCATTTTTATTATAAATATTAACAAATTGTTTTCCAAATCTAAACCTGAACAACTAAAAGACAATTAGAAAGTGGAATAGCCTCAAATTTAAAATAACTATAGGATAGCGAGGCTGATATTATTATTAATAATAATAATAATAATAATAATAATAATAATAATAATAATAATAATAATAATAATAATAATAATAATAATAATAATAATAATAGGAACACAAATAGCAGAAAGAACAGATAGATTAATAATTTAATGTTGTCGTTGTTAATAAGAATATTTCGAAAAAAAAATATGCTTAAAAATTAATGTCTCGATTGAAAAAAACAAATAATTGCAAAAATAATCAAATAAATATATATTAAAATATTGAATAGATATTTAGAAAATCTCAAAAACTACACTAAATATTATTCTAATATGGTGAAACAAGAATTTGAAAAGATTCCTTATTAAGAATATATTACAATAAATAAATTTGTTGAATTAGCTTAAAATTTTAAATGTGAAGAGGACCCTCATAATATATAGTTAATATATTAATGAAAAAAAAAGAAAAAAGAAAGATTAAAATAAGTGGACAATTTTTTATTAGAACAATAGATTAAATGTCATTTGTAGATATAAGTCCCATTTACATTTATTTAAGAATTATTCTTAAGCTTAAATGATACAGTTATCCTAAATTGACAATAGTTATGATAAATTAAGCTTTTATGTAATTAATAAATTAAGTTTATGTAAATTAAATCAGTTCTTAAGTTAAGTAAGAAAATATTATGTATGTCTAAAATTTGATGATTATAATCATCAGATACTTCTAGGATCTCATGTTACCTCTTATGTTAGCCATACTGCAAGAAGAGGAAAAGGTGCAAGATGACTTTTTTTAGAACATTAGGATATACATGACATTTTATTCTATTAAATTGAAAATAATTTAATTTTGATGACCGATATACTTATAATGTATAGGATAGAATTGGACACGGATCTTATGTTTAAGTTTATCGAGGAATTATTTTAAAAAATCTAGTGAGAAGGTAGCTATCAATATGTTGAAATCAGTAATAGATTAGAAACAATTATTTCTTTCATTAATTTAGAGATGATTATTTAAGGGAAGGACTTATTCAAGAAATTAAGATTATGTAAAAATCAAAGAGTTCATATATTGCTACTTTTTTGGATGTCATGAAAATGACCAATAATTATTATATTATTTAAGAATACTGTGATGGAGGTAATTTTGATGAGTAGATATATATTAAATACATTTCAGACTTTTGAAGAAACTAAAATTAAAACTCAATTCCAACCCTTTCTAAAATACTTTCCGAAAAAGATGTAATCAAATTCTTAGTCGATGTTCTAAATGGTTTCACATAACTTATAAAAATGGTATTATTCATAAAAATCTTACACCTGTAAACATTTAATCGACAAATAAGTATTTGTACTAACATACATAACCTTGACCTATAAACTGGCTAATTTTGTCTTTGCTAAAAACTCCACTTTACATGAGTCCTCAAATTGTTGATCAAAAACAGTATAACTCTAAAACTCAAGATTTAATGAATGCTTATAAGCAGATAAAAGCAAGAAATTATCATGGGAAGAAATCTATAAGCTTAATACTGTATCCTAATACTTCACTGTAATAAATTTAAATGATATTTTAGGAAATTATTAAAGTAATAGTAAATTAGAAAATAGAGCTCAAAATTTAATTAATGATATTAGATAAAGGATATACAAAAAGAAAATAGATATTCACAAGTTAATTGCTCATTTAGATATTTCAAAAGATAAATGTCTAGATTTTGATGAATTTGGAAAGTTCTTGATGAAAGTTGATAAAGATATTACAAGATAGAAGATTGATTATATAAGAATCAAACCGAATTTAAAATTTGGTTTAAAGATAATTATGCATTCCAATTAGAATATATATTAGTTTATCCTTAATGGGAATGCTTAATAATAATAAAGAAATGGATCTTATAAAAAATTATCAAACTTACCACATTAATTAAAATCTTAAGATTCTATTCATGAAAAGAACTAATCAATTTTAGAGAAATTAAAATTGTCAATCTAAAAATAGAAAAAAATTTATAAGACCTCTAAGTATCAAAAATTATAAAGTATTATAGTTTGATAAATGTGCTAATCAGAGACTGGATAAAAATTATTGTTAAAAAGAATAGAGCCTCATATAACTTAAGTAGAAATAATTGTTGGTTTTTGCTTTTATTGATGAAAATGGTGATCGCGATATTAATTTCTAAGAATTTTAATAAGTTTAAGTGAAGAAGATGGAAAAAAAGATAAATCACAGATAATCACTGATGAAATAACCTATTATCATATATCAATAATTACGTTCTTATCTTAATACTATTTAAATAAATGTAAAATTTCTTAGATTTCAAAAATTTTCAATTTATGCTTCTTTGTCAGAGAACTAAATTTTCATTATTAATCTATTGATGACAAACACTTTTGAATTAATTCCTGTAGAAATGGCTACTATATTATAAATAATATGGCCATTTTAGTGTTTTCGAATAAAGTATTAATTTTAAATGTTTGAATAATTTAAGAATAAATCGCATATACATAAATAATATAGATTTCGATTTGCATAAAATTAAATAAAATTTTGATTTAGGATTTGAATATAACCAAAAAGTGTTAGAAAAAAAAAAATGAGTCTATTAGAATTTTCATTATTTAGATAATTTATTTGATTTATATTTAAAAAGAACTAGATATTTATCATTTTATATATTTTATATGTTATTGATATTCTTAATTGATTTCCAATTAATAGTTTTATGCAAATTAATTTGCCTTTCTGTCTAATTTCAAAAATATAAATCTGCATTCTTAATTGAAATTTGTTTTGATGTGTAATTAAAGCTATACATACAATCAAAGCCCAATAAATAAAGCTGCTATAATAATACTATCNATGATATGCAAAGAGAAAATAGATATCCACAAATTGTTTGCTGATTTAGATATGTCAAAAGATAAAGCTCTGGATGTTAATGAATTGGGAAAGTTCTTGATGAAAGTTGATAAAGATATTACAAGATAGAAGATTGATTATATAAGAATCAAACCGAATTTAAAATTTGGTTTAAAGATAATTATGCATTCCAATTAGAATATATATTAGTTTATCCTTAATGGGAATGCTTAATAATAATAAAGAAATGGATCTTATAAAAAATTATCAAACTTACCACATTAATTAAAATCTTAAGATTCTATTCATGAAAAGAACTAATCAATTTTAGAGAAATTAAAATTGTCAATCTAAAAATAGAAAAAAATTTATAAGACCTCTAAGTATCAAAAATTATAAAGTATTATAGTTTGATAAATGTGCTAATCAGAGACTGGATAAAAATTATTGTTAAAAAGAATAGAGCCTCATATAACTTAAGTAGAAATAATTGTTGGTTTTTGCTTTTATTGATGAAAATGGTGATCGCGATATTAATTTCTAAGAATTTTAATAAGTTTAAGTGAAGAAGATGGAAAAAAAGATAAATCACAGATAATCACTGATGAAATAACCTATTATCATATATCAATAATTACGTTCTTATCTTAATACTATTTAAATAAATGTAAAATTTCTTAGATTTCAAAAATTTTCAATTTATGCTTCTTTGTCAGAGAACTAAATTTTCATTATTAATCTATTGATGACAAACACTTTTGAATTAATTCCTGTAGAAATGGCTACTATATTATAAATAATATGGCCATTTTAGTGTTTTCGAATAAAGTATTAATTTTAAATGTTTGAATAATTTAAGAATAAATCGCATATACATAAATAATATAGATTTCGATTTGCATAAAATTAAATAAAATTTTGATTTAGGATTTGAATATAACCAAAAAGTGTTAGAAAAAAAAAATGAGTCTATTAGAATTTTCATTATTTAGATAATTTATTTGATTTATATTTAAAAAGAACTAGATATTTATCATTTTATATATTTTATATGTTATTGATATTCTTAATTGATTTCCAATTAATAGTTTTATGCAAATTAATTTGCCTTTCTGTCTAATTTCAAAAATATAAATCTGCATTCTTAATTGAAATTTGTTTTGATGTGTAATTAAAGCTATACATACAATCAAAGCCCAATAAATAAAGCTGCTATAATAATACTATCAGACTAATTTTTCAATAAGAAGTCAATTTTCTATTAATTAAAATATTTAAGATTTCTATATTGATTGATTTAAAAATTAAGTGTTAGTAATAATTTTTTAGAAAAATCTAAACAAGAAGATTAAAGTAAAAGATTTATATCCATTGAAATTGAAAAAATAGTCTTTTTATAATAGTTAACGCAGTTATGCAATTAACATAAGGTTCTATATAGAGAACTATCAACCTTGATATATTTAGAGAATAATTAGGGATTTCCATAACATCAGAAAAACAATAATTATCATAGATTTAAAAGTAGCATCAATTGAAAAGAACAATCACTGAAGACGAAACCTGATTAATTAATTTTAACCTTTTTTGAACTTAATTCATTTTCTTTTGCAATTACAAGAAGAAGAGAGTTAACATAAATTGCAATAGTTACAGATAGAATGTATGTTTATGGAGGAATGAGTGGGGCTGGAATCACTAATGAGATTTAGTGGTTTGAATTAAGTATAAATTTAATAATAATTTTTAGGAAGGTAAGAATGATTTAATTATTGTTTGGATATCTAATTAATTATTACAAATCATTAGATTTTATAAAAAATTATTTAATATTATTTGGAGGATTCAGGGATTATGATCATAAAATGAAAATAAGAGTAGTTTTTTCTAAAATTACTTCTTTAAACACTTTAACCAATTAATAGTCTATTTAATTAGAATCTGTTGAACCAAGGAGAGAACACAAAACATCAGTTCTCTTTGGAAAATTAATGGTTGTAACAGGTAAAATTCATTTAGCAAAAAAGTTATTAAATGACACACTTGTAGATTATTTTGAATCTAAAAGATGGACAGGTCAAAATATATTATTTGAAGAAGGAATTGCATAGCATGCCTAATGGACAACTTATGATTGTAAAAAAAAATATTGAAAAATACATCTGGAAGGTATACAGCCAATCTAAGTACATTAGGAGAACGTTGTTTTTGGGCCATATCCAATAGGCGAGAAAAAATATAAAGAATAGGCCTCAAATAGATGATGTTATAATCACATTATGGAGAATGTTGGAGAATATTTAATTTTACTTGGAGGGTGTTCACAAGAGAAAAAAGAGGATTAAAATTATATTGTTATTTTAAATCTATAAACAAGTCTTTAGAGCATAGCATTGAGATAGGTTTATAAACAATAAGATGGAGTCATGCAAACTGTAGAAATGCAAATTAGAAAAATTTAGAAACATCCAAAATCTATGAAACCATCGTTACTTATTTACCTCTTCCACAACTTAAAACACCTAAGATCTGATTTGATATTTGATTCATTTTTTATACTATATTGAAGCCAATTGGTTACATTTGACAAAATAATAATGCATTTATTTATTTCGCAAAGTAAATACAATTTTTGTACTTAAAACGATAAGTATTAAAAAACAGCTTGAGTTTTGGAATAAAATGGTTTAAATAGATACTTTAATATTAGCAACTAAACTGTTTAAAAAAGATTTTAATAAGAGGTAACTTGATATGATGAACTACATTTGTCAATTTGAGTATTTTTGTAGCTGTACTTTCCAAGATGTTGAAAGAACAAGACTAATAATAAAAAAATTTAGTGAATTATATTCATGATAAATAAATAATATAATATAATGCATTTATACAAGCACCTTAGTAACATCTCATCTTTAATATATATATATAATTCTCAATCAGATANTAACACTTTAACTAATTAATGGACTATTTCATTAGAATCTGTTGAACCAAGGAGAGAACACAAAGCATCAGTTCTCTTTGGAAAATTAATGGTTGTAACAGGTGGAATTGATTCAGCAGAAAAGCTATTGAATGACACACTTGTATATTCTTTGGAATCAAAAAGATGGACAGGTCAAAAGATATTATTCGAAGAAGGTATTGCTTAGCATGCCTAATGCACGGCTTATGATTATAAAAGAAATATTGAAACAATATATATCTATGGAGGATAAACAGCTAAACTAAGTTCATTTCCTCTAATGAGAATGTTGTTTTTTGGGCCACATCCAATAGGATGGGAAAAAGTCTAAACAGTAGGATAAGCTCCAGATAGTCGATATAATCACACTATGGAGAATGTTGGAGAATATTTAATTTTACTTGGAGGGTGTTCACAAGAGAAAAAAGAGGATTAAAATTATATTGTTATTTTAAATCTATAAACAAGTCTTTAGAGCATAGCATTGAGATAGGTTTATAAACAATAAGATGGAGTCATGCAAACTGTAGAAATGCAAATTAGAAAAATTTAGAAACATCCAAAATCTATGAAACCATCGTTACTTATTTACCTCTTCCACAACTTAAAACACCTAAGATCTGATTTGATATTTGATTCATTTTTTATACTATATTGAAGCCAATTGGTTACATTTGACAAAATAATAATGCATTTATTTATTTCGCAAAGTAAATACAATTTTTGTACTTAAAACGATAAGTATTAAAAAACAGCTTGAGTTTTGGAATAAAATGGTTTAAATAGATACTTTAATATTAGCAACTAAACTGTTTAAAAAAGATTTTAATAAGAGGTAACTTGATATGATGAACTACATTTGTCAATTTGAGTATTTTTGTAGCTGTACTTTCCAAGATGTTGAAAGAACAAGACTAATAATAAAAAAATTTAGTGAATTATATTCATGATAAATAAATAATATAATATAATGCATTTATACAAGCACCTTAGTAACATCTCATCTTTAATATATATATATAATTCTCAATCAGATAATTATTTTAAGATAAATTAAAAATAATAGATAATAAATTTTAAAACTCTGTATCTAAAGAACTTAACTATATATTATACCAAATTAAATAGATATTTTTTTGATTTACTAAAATTCTCTATTGGGCTACTATCAATAAATAATATATCCTCTGTTTTATTGATCTTTGAGTAATGTTTCTATTAACTACTAAAATTCAAAATCTACTCAGTAAAAAATGGACTCTCATTTTAAATATTTTTTTAGTAATCCATTATCTTCTAGAATAAGTCAAGACAGACTACAATAATTAACTTAATAAGGACTCTTAAGATTTAACATAAATTTAAATTAATTGCTAAGAGTTAATGAATATTTTAATGAAGAGAAAAAAAATTTATTGGGATGCAATCATACTATTTAAAGGTATAACTATAGAACTAATTTGGATCTGCAAAGATTTATTATAAAAATCGATAGAGAAATGCAGTAGATAATCATAAATTTTGAATAATCCAATACTTCCATGCTTATTATTAATAAATAGTGCATAAAATCTTTTATTATAAATAAAAAAATCGATTCATCCTGATTAATATTGATATAGATATATATACAATATTCATAAAAAATCTCTTATTTGCATAACGAACTAATTTTAATAGGGATTATTTAACATTGATGTGATTTGATTTTAAATATCTACAATATTAAATAGATATTGATGATATATTTATTTAATTTACTTTTAGAGAGATATTTTTATATAAAAATGCTGATTTTCTTTTAGCAACAAATTTTTGTTACAATTGCACTAAAAACTAGAGTCAAAATAAAAATACATTTTAAATTATATTTAAATTATTGAATTGAGCCCAAATAAAGTTTATCTTCTTCGTAATTTTCTGGTTTCTTCTGCTAATTAGATTATAACAATGAAGGAATAAATTGTAATGTTTCTCTCGATTTAAAAGTGTAGATGTGGCAAATTTTTCTATAATGGTTGCTCCTTTGGGCTTAGTGTAAAAGGAATGACATTTTATTTAGTTTTGATCAGAAAGATACTATTTTTTTCTCAAATAGATGATTTTTAGAACGAAATCTAAAATATTTTTACTGAGATTAAGTACAAATAAAAAATCAAGATAGAAATAAGAAGGAAAAGATACATTAATCTAAAGCAGTTAAAAGAGTAAAATTTGTAAAAATATAATATCATCTGAATATGGGAAGCTTTAAATGGAAAATAGAAATTAATTTAATTTCATACCTAGTGTTAAACTAAGCTCAATAATTAAGCATTTTATACTCCTAAGGATCATAAAACAAAAGAAATAATTAAGCAAGAAAACTAAATATTTGCTTTATCTTTAACAAATTTACCTAGATGGATTAAACTAAGTAATTTGAAAGGTTTCGCCCAAGTTAATAGAGTTTAAGAAATGAAAAAATAATTAAACTAAATTATCATATAGTAATTAAACATATTGATTTGAGTGATGATAAATAGAAAAATAGTATTTAATTTTCATAACTTTAATAATTATAATCAATACAATAATTAATTTATTTCAAACATCAATTTTGAATTACAAAAATTATTTTTACAATTCAAATGATATTTGGGAACTTTAATATAATTTTTCTTCATACGCTGAATTTAGTTAGGTTTTTGTGTGCAAGATTATAGCAGAGTAATTATAAGCAACCACAACACTTAAAGTTTATAAATCTGACACTGTGATTAAAAAAGTAGTCTTATTTTGTTGAAAAATTTTTCAACCTGGATATTATACATTTTATATTGAAGTTGATTGGGATTAAAATTATGATCAATATTTAGCAATTTCTTCCTAGGAATCAAATTCGGTTTAATTTTGTGAATTTTAATTTCCATCTGGTGAAGAGAAATCAGTTATTAATACAATTATCGATGGATTATTAAGAGCACATCAGAAACACAATGATGAAAATTTAAAGATATTAAATCAGGAATTAGAAGATTTGCAGGGGTTGTTGCTGATATCCTTATTATTAAACATCCAAAAAATAACTTCAGTAAGATCTTTGTTATAATTGGTGTAAATATAATGAGTCAAATTCTTGTATTTTGATTATCAGAAGATTGATGGAATTCAAATAGTTTTAACTTACTCGCCCAAATTCGTAAATAATAAAAAATAGATTTCCTAAAATTGTCTAAACATAACTCAATTTATAATACTTTTTTATCATAACAATAATTTCTCTTATAACATTTTATCAATCTATAAGAAATATGATCCAAATTTATTCAATCAGAAGCAAAGTTATTTGTTTAGCGATTTATCTAGTTCAATCAATTAGAAAATGAATCATCGCAATAATCACAATAATAAATTTCTTACTAAGAAAATTGATTTAGCAATTTACTTTTACATTTATCAATAAACAAAAAACTTAAAAGTTAAATATCATTCCTTAGCATCTTGTAAATAATAAAATTGGAAAAATCAGCATTAATTCATAAAATTTAATAAATAAAAGACTGTTATAATATTGAATATTAAATACACTTTAAATATTCTAAAATATTTTATAATTTTTATATTATAATGCTCATTATTCCTTAAACTTTCTTATTTAGATTTCCTTTAATTATAAATCCCAAGTGATCAAATACTCTCCATCATCACTTAATTGTCCATAAATTTAACCGCTACCAAATGAAATAGATTATTAAATAATAAAGTCACCATTTTCTTTCTTTCTCATTAAATTGACATTCTTGCCATTCTTATTCACAAGTAGGCATTTTGACTTTATGTATTATTATGGAAATAAGCAATCACAATCACTAGAATCACACTTTACAGCAACTACCTTAATCTTTTAATACTATTTATTATTAGAATCCATCTCATATATATACATTTATTCTTTACAATAAGGTTAGAATGTAAATAAGTTATCATTAATAAAACATAATCGATATCCATATTGATCAACTTTTATCTTTTATGTAACACTCCACTATTTATCCCACTTAGACTATTCTATTACTAATATTTATGAATCAGATGAACAAGATATCAATTTATTTTATTTTTCATTTAAACTTAATGAATATACATAACCAGTATGATCACTTATGGTTTATTAACATATCCATTAATTCTATTTCATCCAAAATTTGATTGTATTATCAACACTACCTGATATTATTAAATCATCAGTATTATTTAACAATAAACACCATATACAATTCGAATGTCCATTTAATATTTATTAACAATTCCATTAATTATTTCCAATCACCTACCATATTATAATTGAATAATCTGAACTTCCAGATACAAAATTATTAGTCTTTTTCATAAAATTTAAAGTATACACATCCTTTTTATGCTTACTCAAAAATTAAACCTGATTCAATTTCCCTTATTAATGTTCAAATACTTTAATATATTTCCTACATCCAGCTAATAAGATAGATTAATCTTGATTAAAAGCTAATGCATAAGACCTGTCATCTTATTTAATTGAGTGTTAATTCATGATCTCAAAGGTGAACTGGTTTGAATCTTAAATTTGTTTAATTATTTCAATTGATTTCTCTTTTCTCATTTACTTTTCATTTAATTTTTAAATCTCCTAATTTTTATTATTGATGATATCTAAGTTTTCTCTTTATTCTTACTTCTTTTCATCTTTTTCTTTTTCCTATTGTTATTTCAATTATTGAATTGCTTTAGTCTATTTTTATTCGATATTATTCACTTCTCTTTACACAATAGAGTTAATCGATTTTATTAACTCACTAGTGATTTCGTTGGTTAGAATTGGATGTATAAATTCTTTTGTTATAGTTGATAATAATAAAGAAGAAGATTATTCTTTAGCTGAGTCAAGTTACAAGCTTGGAGGACTAGGTATAACTGAATCCAAACAAATATGATCAATTGATTAACAAATTTTATTATAGGGGGACTTTGGCTAACAGAAAGTTATATAACATACTTCTATTTCTTCCTATACTTCATTGAAATAATTTTCAATACTTTACCTATTAATTTTTGCAGTGAATGGCGAACCTTATGATGAAGACATATTAATTAAATTGAGATTTGATTTAAATATTGAAAAGAAATCTTTATTTGTTAATTTTTGAACAATTTCTCTTACTATTTAGAAACAAAAATTAATATTTCATAAATAATTACAAATAAATTATATAATTATCAACTGTGCTATTTATTTAACAGAAACATTAAATAAAAGCACCTTCTAACACCTTATTCATTTATTCAATTGAATTTAATGCTGAAGTTTAATCAATGTTTTGTTAATAAAAGAAATGTAATTTAAACGTAATTAGTTTATGAAAATAAATAGATTATTCTAATATTAATTTGATTAAAGCAAAAATATAAAATATATATGATTAAAATGATTAATTAATGAAAAAAAAACCATTCTTTTTCTCTAGTTATTCATATGCAGAAATTTGTTTAAAAATCTTTTATTATATAATTTAGAGATTTGAAGTTGAATTAATGCTAATAAATTTATTCACTAAAATCAATATATGAAATCTTTCTCAGATGAAGTATTAATTTATAGATTATTGAAGTCTTCTTTAATTTTTAAATGAAATTGAATATGTTAAGTTTAAAATCTATGAGCACTATTTTATAGCTAAACTTCAGTAAAGTTACGCATTTAATTAAATAGAATTTCATTAATAAATATCAACATTAAATGTAGAAAATGTTTAATTAATCCCTTTAAAATTTAACATCAATTAATTTAACGAGATTACTTTTTGATTAAGAAAGGATTTATTTAAATACTATACTCAATGATCATTGAAGTTGATGAGCAAATAGAAGTAGTATTAGACCCATTTTCTTTTTGGTTTTAATCCAGATTTGATTTTGGAGGATCATTGCTTAAATTTATTTCAAAAACTCTATTATTATTAATAGAATTCTAAGCAAATAAACTCCTAAACCTTAAATTAGTTTCTTTATATTTCTTTAGTACAAAAACTTATTATACTTAATATTTATACATAGGTTCCTCTAAAGTTAAACTTATCTTAATAGTAAATTAGTAAAAAAAATTTTCTGTAATCTTTCCTCTTAATTTATGGAGTCAGATAGAATTATTGTTAATTACAATAATATCACATGGAGGGAAGAATTTTTTTATTGAGGAAGGTGCAAATGATATATCTATGAAATATTAGCAAAATAGAAGAATTCAAATTTATAGAAATTATTAATTTCTTTAAATGTTTTATAGTGTCGTTGTTTCATTCATTCATTCATTCGACATCTGTAATTAAATTCTTCCACTAAAAAACAAAGAAGATTTACAAATATAATCTGTTCTGAAATAAAACTAATCAAATTTTTTTGGTAGCATATTGCATTAAAAACAGAATATGATAATCTAGATGGTTATTGTGAATGGTCAAAGTTCAAATGGAGATTAAACCATTTAATTTTATTAAAAATATAAATATTTATTATTGGGTTGTATTAATGATTTTACATAAGGAAAATTAGTTTCTTTCCAATTCTAATTTATTGATTTCTTTGCTAAATGTCAAATTTCTTATTGAAACAATTAAATTTTTGGAATTTATAAAAAATGTTGCCATTTAATTAAAAAATCAATTAAAAATCTTGCATCTCAAGCATTAAGGATTATGTGCATTAATAACTTTTTAAGACAAAATAAGCATTAAATTAAAATGTATATTAAATGTATATTTGTCAGTAATATTACAAAAGTGGGTTTAGATTCTTCTCAAATATATTGAACCAAATCTCAGCCAGGCAATGTATGTGAGTCACCGTTCTTGTTGTCTAACGCTTATAGCACACTCAGACTCTAACTCTTAATCGTGACAGTGTGGTAGGTTTTCTGACATCTCTAAACATCACCATTGTTCGATTATGTTCAAGATAATTCTAGAAACTTCTTATATTAATTTCCATTATATTTATTGATGGGATTGCTAGAAAATTAATTATGACAGATTGATGATTTTGTTATCATCGAATCCACTCCAGTCTACCCACTCTATTACTTAATTCTAAAATGATACTGCGCTTAAGCTTGTCCATACTCAGTTCTCCTCTCATTGTCTGGACTTCTTCTCCTCTCTGCCTCTTCCTTTGATATCAAGCGTAATCCTAATGAAATCCACCTTAAGCTTTACAAGGACATCTGTCTGCATTTGGATTCCCCTACAGCCTACTTCCAAACATTGACATAAAGATTTTTCTATTGGCATCCTTCCCTACTCATACAATCAGTTGAAACTGAGTACTTGGACAGACTCAAGCGAGAGGCCTGAGGAACAAGAAAATCGGAAGCCCCTAAGGGGGGACTCCACTTCCCAATTTGCTAGAAGGGGGAAATTGACAATAAAATAATTTAATTTAGCATTAGATTAATGGTAGATACTTTCTAGATATTTAAATTATCATCTCCATAATAAATTAAAGCTGAATGAAATATTGGTTAAATCTTAAAATTTTAATTCAAACTTAGAAGGTTTCAAATTTTGATGAGAAATACTCTTATCCAATATGTTTAAAAATATTTCAAAGACTTTTAGATTAGATTGATTCTCCCATATTTGTCATCTAAATAATATTATTAGAAAACTATAGCTTGGATTCATATGCCTCATAAGGATATAATCGTTAAGACACTTTAATCATTAAAACATTGAATTTTTCTGTAAATTAATATCATTTGAATTGCTCAAACTAGTAACAATTCATTAAAAAAGTAAAGCTTATTTTTCTTATAACACTATTTCCAAACATATTATATTTCAAATCAACTCCTTCATAAAGTCAGATTTGAGAATTTTAACAAAGTTTGATTAATTGATAAATCTCTCTGCATTTAATTAAAAACTTTTTATAATATAATTTAGATTCATTTTTATATTGTATAGCTAATATTTGAATATGTTTCAGAAATATACTTAATATGAATCAAAAAGTTATGATATCCTATATCTGAACAGCATGGCTAAGATGAGCAATCTCTAAACATTTAGATAAAATTCATTTCTTTTAATTATTCATACTTTAAATTATCATTAGACCTATTTGATTATTCTTATGGTCAACTAATATAAAATTACAAATAAAATAAAAAATTAGGCTTAGGGAAATTGAGAAATAAACTAATTAAATAATTTATAATGCAAAATAAGTATTCTTATTCCAACTTGGAATGATGTAATTAATTTATGAATTCTAATAAAATATTTAAAAATGTGATAATTTTAAATAACTTGTTACGGTAGATCATACAATAATAAAATTTAGCATAAGGATCAATTATCTTTAAGGCTTATTTTAATATCGGATACATAACCTAAACTGTAATTCTAAGATTTATAGGAATGTAAAGGATATGATTAAGCTGGCGAGGATTTGTAATAGTAAGCTCAGAGAAACTAAGGTATATAGAAGATTTCTTTATAAATTAAGGTGTATATAGGTAAATAATAGTAGGAAGAATAAAGAAAAGCTTATTGATAGGAACTTCTCTTATATTGATTAATATATTAAAAAATAATGAATGAGCTTGTTAAATGTAGGCAAATATCGAAAGAGTTTGTTATAGAGTTTTACTTTATTATAAAAAATGTTATAGAGGCCTAAAGCAAATTAAATTTATAATGATATACTTTTTCTATCAATCTGTCTCATTGATCCAAAAGACACAAGTCTTCCTAGTTAACATTTAGTTTATAATTCCTTTTCTAATTATTTGCATAGTCTTACATTTAATACTTAAGAGCCAAAATGTCTTTATACAACAAAGGATCATGAGAGTAAACATGAAACTAAATTAAGAAATTCACTATTGCTTTGGTCAGATAAGCAATAAACATTTATTCAATTATTATTAATCAGTGTTTAAAGTTATAATGAAATGTTTGAAGAAATAAGAATTGTGAATATAAAAATATTTGCATTTAACTAAAATTAATTAAATCAATTTATTGATTTCTTTATGATTCTAATATAATAAATTTATTAAAGATTAAATAATACAATTTATTGTAATTCAATTTAATATTTGATACTTTATATATTCAATTCTAATATAATATATTTATAAGGATATTCAAACACTTTAATAAATTACAATTATTTATACTACAAATAATGATAGCTATGAATAATAATAATTTGGTTAAAATAGCGATCAATGCGAAAGATGGAATTTTAGAATAATTTAAGAAAGATTTTTAATTCAATTCAATAATTCAACTAGATTACTGTCGAGTAATAGAATTTGTAAATGATATTATATTTAAAATTGATTTTAATAAAAAAGGTCTAATATGTTATTAACTAGTGTGACCAAAATGATGATTTGACAACAATAGCAAGTGTAAACTTGAGGGAGAAAAAGTATGTAGATACTATTATTGTATTGAGGTTGAATCTTCAAATACAACTCATACAGCATGTAATATTAGGGAAGTTCGTTGGAAGTCAACTGGTGCTAGATGAATAGATTTAATTCCATAATGTAGTAATTACTAATGAATTTCAGAAACATGTCCAAAGATGAGAGGATTAGAGGGAAATTGTGAATTTAATCTTGAAGGTAATAGTGTTGATCTTGTAATCACAGGTGCTAATACTACATTTAATACTGCTTAAGGATTGTGCTACATATAATATCATAAGTATAATGTGGAGAATAAAACAGTAGATGTGAAAAATAGAGAGGAATTGTATTATGTGATGGAAAAAATAATTTATGGATGGAATTCAATCGGTGTCTCTAATACTAGTTGTGGATCATTATTATAAATGTATAAATGCAACTGAAACATAAACTTGTAAATTAAACTCCATGTTAAGCAATTACTCCAACTAAATGTTGATATGATGCACATGTAGGCTCAACTAAATTTTCTAATATAGCTACTTGTGAAGAAGTCATTTCATCTGCCAATTCTGCAGAATATAATAAAATATTAGATGATGAAAAATGTTAATAATCAATTAATGAATGTATTATTACAAAAACAACATGTGCTTGTTATTCAATTACCAGAATTAATGCAGGTTAATGTAGGAACAGAAATTGTATAGTTGATGTTGGTAAATGAATTATAAATTCTATAAAGAAGCTTCTTATGCAAGAGTTGAATGTGCCTTATATAATTCCTTCTACAATAACATATGCTGATGAAAAATAATACATTGTTAGAAGATATATGCTGACTAGTTGATAATACTTTTCTGATAACCTATTTACTAAGAGTAATGCATGAGGTTGTATGGCTGGAAATACTGATTGTGGGGAATATTATATATAGTAATATTTACGATAATGATGCTGAGGGACTTGCTTGTGCCTCTTTTTTCAGGTAGAGCTATTTGTTTTAATCCAGCTGATAATCTAGCTTCATGCACAGGAATAACAACCGGCATTGTACGGATTTTGATTTAAGAACAATATTGAAATAATTATCTTAAAAACTCTCTAGGTTTTAGATGTACATTTATTAAAGAAGGAAGTACGATAAATTGTTAACAAATAGTAAGTTGCTCTTCTTTTTTTCTTAATTTTATTACTGATACAGGAGATAAATTATCAGCATGTTAATGTGCAATATTCACTACTGGTGAATGTACATACTTTTCAGGAAATACTTACATTGTTGTAGGTGCTTGCAATTCATATACTGTAAGAATTACAGAAACTATAGTAAGTGATTGTGCTAAATAAAAGAGAATTATTGGATGATTTAGTTTCGGTGTTGGTTATTGCAAATTCATTGGTTAATAGTCTAAAAGATACTAATGATGACTACTGCACAGTTGATGATGATATTGATGCAAATTGTAAATAAAGAGAATGTAATTCTAATGCAAAAGCTAGTTTTTTTATTCATGAAAAATGTAAATCATATTTATTATATATAAATCAAACATTCAAGGCCATATCACAGAAACATCAACCCGCTTATAATAAAGCGGATATTTTATTTATATTGATTGGGCATTAAATATTAATATCAAGTCAAATTGTGCCAAAAGAACTCTTGCTACTACTAATGCCTCCTGTACAAACTTATCTTTGATTTGAATGTAACCGCAATTACGGATTCAAAGTGCTAATCATTCAAACCTGATTTTTGAATAAAGGTAAAAGGTTATATTCATAAAACTGAGGCATGCTCCTCTTATTATAGTAAGTAACAAAATTTGCAGAAATAGATAATGTATAACAACTCTGAAAATTTCTTATCGGGATGCTTATACTACCGAGTGAGATGTGTTTCTAAGAAGGCTGCTTGTATTGCATATTAGGGAATATAAATTTTCAGGATTTAAGGGAAACAATAGAATCCAATATTATTGGAAACCTGTGAAACAGTTGTTAGATATTGTTAGGATAGAAGATGCTTGGATAACACAGGTACAACAGATGCTCAATGTTAAAAGTTCTTACCATCTCAAGCTACTGCATAATTATATATTACTGATTGAACCAAATGCATAGATATTGGAAAATAATTTTAATTCTTTTAAGGAAATGATGAAATATACTAAAAATTCATAGCTAGTGAAGATCCATGCAGAGCACATGCTGTTTCAGCATTTCCTGTTGATTGTAGTCTTAAAGTTTGTTATGAAAATCATAACAAATTTACAAGACAGATAAATAATTTTCAGATTATAATCCAACTTGTAAAATACCAAGTAGAGAATGCAAGAATAGTGTTGGATGTGGAGATTACACTTCTCCATGCAGTTCATTAACTACATATGGTCAAACTATTTGTGTTAATACACCAACCAGCCTTTGCAAAGATTTCACATTTGCAGATTATGATGGATCTATTACAATTCATAAAGATTGTAAAGATAAAGATTGTACTTTTGCTACCAGTGGAGCTGGTTTTATTACCAAAGAAACTCGCTCATCATATAAATCCCAATCTGTTTGCAAAGCTACTAATAAAACTGAAAAATCAATAAGATATTTTGGAATTCTATAGCCACTGCTTGTAGTTAAAGATAATGTACATATGTAACATTAACTTTAAATGAAGTATACAATATTTGACTTGCTGGATGCATTTAGTACAATCCCTGAACTTTGCTGAAAACAAAGTGTAGGAAATCCATGTTTATGTTTTTATGGAATTTGTTATGATAATGACAATTTTACAGATATAACTTCTTAAACTAAACATTTACTAAGCATCCTCTGAATAATGTGTTCTAAAAAATTCAACCTGTTTTTTCATTAGCAATTAGTATAAATTATACTAAATGTTTGGTGGTTATCAAAAAGTAAATGCAAAGATTAAAAGCATACAGTGATGCAGATGGCGCCAACTTATCAACATGTAAAAGTTGGGGTTCCGCTTTTGTTTCAGATGGAAAAAATGTCTTGATAAAGGAACTTGGTCTTCATATCTAATCCCTTCAGGTTATGTTAATGAAGGTACTGATCGATGTTGTTAATGGACTGGAACAGCCTGTATATTGAGAGAATTTTCAGATAAAGTTGCTACTTCTGACACTGAATGTTTAAGTTATGTTTTTACGAGTGTACTCTGCATAACTGATGAAGGTAAGTGTGTTCCTAGATCTACATGTGTTTTTTACTAAAGTGAAGCAGATTTTACAACTGGATAAGATGGAATATTAAAATTGAATTGACTATTTTTGGAATCATTGTTTGATTTTTATATATAAATTTATATTTGGAAAATTAAGATATTTTTATTATATAATATATTATTTGAAATAGCGCATTATTACTACAGTGAGTTTCAGAATAGTCTAAATTTTTTTTAGTGAATTTAATCTTAGTCTAGGATTTTATAATAGAGAATAGGACCTAAATTGATTATATTGTTTAGTCAATGAAATTAAGTATCAAATTCAAGTTTTAAGTTTTAGTTAATATCCATGAACTGATTGTTCTTAATGATTCTTATCAATATTAATTTCAGCTGACCATTCTCTTATCTAAAATAATACATTTCGATCCAATTCAGTAACTCTAAATATGATAATCAAGTATAAACCAATATCAATTAATAGAGGATTAAATGAAATATGATAATTTTATATATTATTTACAATAGATTATTCTGATCCAATTCATTGATAAAGCGAATTTGAAGTGCATGCCATTTATATCATCAAAAGTATAGTAGTATTCATGGGTTGAATAATTCATTTATTTACCTTAAATTGATTGCTCTAAGGCTAAAATACATTTTTAAATACCGTTGTTATTGAATCTATCAAATAATATGTGTAAATTCTAATCAATATTTATGGAATGATTAAATTAATTGATAATAATAATATTCTTATATTTAACTAGGAATATCAAAATAATAATCTTAAGATTTTTTTATTCTACAAATATTTAAGTTTTTATCCCCAATAAGCAACCAAATATTTGATGTGGATTGTGGCTCATTTCACTGTCCAACACTATATCATATTTGTTGAAGATTGTTAGTAATAACTTTAAGATTTCACTAAATAGTAATATTTTTACAGAAAATTATTTTATCAGAAATAGTTTGAAGGGCAAGGAATTGCTACCGTATCCAAAATGTTGGACCAATTATTTCTTAAATTTGATCCAGTTTATCTCTCCACTTAGAAGAAGGCAAGTTTGAAATAGAGAAGACAGCATATGAAAGAATGAATTAATATTTATTCCATATATTTGCCCTCTTTATACAAAATTAATAAATATATTTCTTAAATAGAATTAGATAAATATTGTATACTTGTAATTATCTTTAATTACCTATCATTTAATATTTTGATCAAATGTTAAATTTGTGCTTAATTCCAGATTAAAATCTTTATCATCTTTAATTAATTTTTTATTTTCGTTTTTAGATTTTCTTGATATCTATTAATTAGTAGCTCAAATACTGTAACGAAATTCCTTCTTATTTATCCATTGTCATCAGAATAAATTATTATAAATTATAATTAATCTCCATATTCTTGATTTGATTCATGTATTATAATTTATTGTTGGATTACTGATTATTTTAAAATAACCGTTGCATTAATTTCATTTAATTTGATTCAATAGATTTATAAATCAATCAAGCAACGACTTTAACGATAAATCCAAACTACAATTTTATTTAATGATCTTTGTCCAAATTATCATTAATATATCATTACAACATGTAACTAATGTATCTTCAGATTGATCAAAGCATAAGTAAAGAATATAATTTTTATTTTTGTCTATTGATATCTCTTATTAAATCTAACCAAATAAAAATTATTTAAAGCCAATAAATGAATATCACAAATCTCATTTTAATCTTAGAAATTAAAAAATAATTTTACTGTATCTTTTTGAATTTCTTGCAATAATATAATAATTTTTCAAACTTCAATATCAATCTCATAAAATTAGAGTATAGATTTACTACTATGATTACTTTTCTTTGCTTTTTAAATTAAAAGTTTCATTTGTTTTTAAAGCTACTACATGTTTAGATTAAAATCTTTTGTAAAATATTAAATGGCATTAATTACTATGATGACCTAAATTGTATCTCAAAAAAAATATTATTATAAAATTTAATTTTTGGATTTTTTAATTATTTATTATTTTGAATATGTTAAATTCAGGTCTATTGAATTAATATTAAAAAGTTTTAACTTCTTGAATCTACTTTAATTTATTATCTTATCATTCTAAATTTAATTTACCCAAAACTAAAAAGCTTATTGTCTTACTTTTTATTAATTTATGACCTGTAATTAATAAATCTTAATTTAATTTTAGAAAATTATAATAGTATAATGTAAAAGTCTGAATGAATATGTCAAGAATATAAAGATAATCTAAGTTTTCAAATGGATATTTTTATTCTTTATTATTTATATTTAATTTTAAATTATTAAATATTTGTAATATCAATTGAAATTATTATTTTTATAATTAAATTACAACATATTATCACAATATTGATATAGGCAAATCAATCTAAAATTAATAATATTTAGATAAATTGAACCAAAAAAGCAATAATTAGTATATAGCAAATGTAATAAATATATCATGATGATATTTTTAAATATTTAATACTCATCAATTCAATTTCTTCTAACAATTTCAAATTAATAATTCAGTTCTTTCTTTTTTTTTTTTTTACATATTAATCGTTTGGATCAATTTTTAATGATTTTTCATAACAAATGAGAGCTTCTTTATATTTTTTTAAGTCTGTTAAACAATCTCCTACAAATTAGATGATAAGATACCTGTGGACATCAGAGAAAATGTATGTTTCTGATTGATGGACAGTAGAAATTATATGGATTCTTTATATCTTTTTAATAATCTTAAACACTCACCTATTAAAATTATTATTTTCAATTTACCTTTCTCATGTAAGGAACTAACATGCTTAGGATCAATAGCTAATGCTTTGTCCACCAAGGTATTACATTCTCATATTTACTTAACAATCTTATAATAAAATACTTAATAATAAGTTCTTAAACATAAACCTATTAATATAATTTAGATTCAATCTACCTTTTGCATATAAGGAATTAACATATTTTAGGTCTATAGCTAAGGCTTTATCCAACCAGGTTATTGCATCCTGATATTTATTTAAATTTCTTAAAAATTGACCTATTCATATAATTATGAATTCAATCTACCTTTCTAATGTAAGGAATTAATATGTTTAGAATTTATAGATAATGCATTGCCTATACAAATGATTGCATCTTGATATTTTTTTTTAATTTCTTAAGCAAACACCTATTAATTTCATTATTATTCAATCTACCTTTCTCATATAAGTAATCTTTAGAATCTATAGCTAATGCTTTGTCTATCCAAACAATTGCATCCTCATATTTACCCAAAATTCGTGTATTTAAAATAATTAATAAGAATATTTAAATCTGATTCCCATTTTTAACAAAGAAAATGTTTGATTTACACTTTCTACATATTTATTGAGATCATCAATAAAATTATCACATTCTTATTTTTTATTTTCAATATATGTTATTAAAGTGATAATTTTTTCAACATCTTTAAAATGATCATGATGGATTCTTCCATATTTTAAATATTTAAAACAATTTAGTCTGAACTCTGTACATAATTAGTTATAACAAACTATGTCTATCTCATCCAGATGATTATTTTGTTAGCATTTTAGCTTTGAATTTGATTACAAAATCATATATTTCTATATTTTTAATAAATATTTATAAACACAGTAATTGAAATTATACTAATAATATCAAGATTCAACACAAAGCCTTATCTTTTTTTCAAGACTAATATTAAAAATTCTTAATATTATGCTTATTGTTATCATTATCAGAAATCCATTTATTTTTAATCTATGTAATTTTCTAATATAATTTCAAGTTGCAACATTTAAAAATACTCTTAAAAAAGAAAATCTTAATAAAATATTCTATTGAATTTATCAATGAGCTGATCAATTTACAGTCCTCCACCAACTTTATTCAAGCTAATTAACAATAATTAACAGATTTATTTATCCTCACTAAAAGGCATAAACAACTAGAATTTATTATTTTCTTACCAAAATTGTTTAAATTGAGTGATTCTCAAAAATGATATCACATTATAAACTCTGGTTAATGAACCTCTAGATATTTAATCAATTAGATAGTAGAATTTCAACTAAAATATTTTTTACTTATGGTGATAAAAATTTAGAGATAGAAATGAATTGAGCTAATAATTTGATTATTATTTATATAATAAATACATTAAAGAATGGAATAACAATATTGTACAAGGATTGATCATTCATAAATGCCAATAAATGGTATTTGCCTAGATCCCAATTGTCATTCACTAAGACCATTTTGTAATTAGTGTATTCAACTATTACATTCAAACCATGTTGCATCATTAATATCATTTGAAAAAACTTAATCATGGATTAAAAGCAGAATGAATTCTATATCCGAAATAAAGAAATTCATCAAATTAAGTTTAGAATTAATTAATATTCTTCAATTTGTTAATAATTTTTAAGAAAAGGAAATCAATTAAAAGAATATGGAAAAATTACAAATATCTTAGTTAAATTTGCTTGCAAATGATTTAACAAAAATAGATCATATATTATAATACCCTAACTGGAGTGAGACAAATAAATAACTTCTTGAAATCTTTCAATTTTGTTAAACCATGAAAAATATTCATTATATAGAATCAAATAAAGATTAACCAGAAAATTAAATGAATCAAAATGCAGTGAAAAAAATTTTTTTGGAATAAGTTTAACATTAAAAAATTAATATTAAAGAATTCTTAATTGATAAATATAAAGATTAAATTTAATAAAGAATTTTTTAATAATAATTTGGATTAGAAAAGGAAAGCTTTAAATAGTAAGAGTTTCCTTAAGAATTAGAAGCCTAAATTTGGTCTGGTACTAGATTCATAAGAACTAAACTATTAATAAACTTATAAAATAATAATGAAATTCAATATATTCTTGATGGATCCATAATAAGAAGGTAGTAATATTTATATTTAAATTAAATAGCGATAAAATAAATGATACTTCTAGGAGGCCAGAAATATTAACTAACTTAGAGTAGATTTAATATTTATAATGGAAGGGGGACTTTGGAAATAATAATAAGAAGATAGGAAAATGGATAGCTACATGGATGGGTAACACTTTGGATGGTGTAGGCGGATAATACACTAATGATGGAAAAAAATATGGCAAGTGGAAAGAATTATTTTAGAATTATTGGAAGTTAGCTTAATTTAATAATATAATAGGGAAGCTCAGGTATATGAAGAAGGTGAATATGATAATGGTTTAAAAATAGGAGATTGGAAATATAATTATTAGGATAAAATAATGTAAAAAAGATATGTATTAAGTTAGTAATGGTGGTATATATAATTATAAAGGTGAGAAGAATGGATAATGGACTGAATTGAGTAAAACTTTTTGGGATAAATCTTAAATAATTTATAATGGTGAATATAAGGATGGAAAAAAAGTTGGTAGATGGGTGATAAAGTATGAAGGAGTAGAGATGTAATATTAAAATATAAAATATAAGTGGTGGTGGATAGTATGAGGATTATCATCCTTAAAATATATTGTCCCAAGAATATGATTATAAATCAACATAGTAGTAAAATTCCTAAGTTTAATCATAACTTTCTTCTGCAAACATTAAAGATAATGATGGCATTACAAATTCAAATAAGATTGGAAAATGGATTGAATTGAGCGAGGGATTTTATTGCAATTCGTAAGTCACATATGAGGGTCAATATAGAAATGGTAAGAAAATTGGTAGATGGGATATTTGGCGGAAAAAAGATTTTGATGATAAAATAAAAGTTTAGATGTAATTCTTATAGTCCTTTTTTAGTGGTGGTGGATTATATGATGAAGAATATTCTTTTAAGATAGGAAAATGGGTTGAATTGAGCGAAGGATTCTGGGATAATTCTTAAGTTATTTTGAAGGGGGAATATAAAAATGGTAAAAAAATAAATTTGTGGTCTATTGAAGCATTTGGACAATTAATGTAAAATTATATTAATATTTACAAATTTTAGTGGTGGTGGATCATATAATAAAGAAGGTTCTATTAAAATTGGGAACTGGATAGAGTTATGTGATGGATTTTATGGTGCTGCATAAATAATTTAAAAAGGCTAATATTTAAATGGTAAGAAAATAGGGAAATGGGATATTTCTTATCGAGAATTTGAAAACCAACCTTTTATTTAAATGTAAAAATATTAAAAATAACATTTTTAGTGGTGGTGGAGTATATGATGAAAGTGCATCAGTTAAAATAGGAAATTGGGTTGAATTAAGTGAGGGATTTTGGGATAGATCTTAGGTCACATTTAATGGATGGTATAAAAATGGTAAGAAGGTTGGTAGATGGAGTAGTTATTTGAAGAAGAATTATGGGGATTTTTTAGATGTTAATATGTAAATTAGAATACATATATAATATCAATTTTTAGTGGTGGTGGATCTTACAATGATTAAGACTCTTTGAAGGTTGGAGAATGGATTGATGTGAAAGATTAGTTTGTTGATTTCTAATAATTAGTTTATAAAGGTTAATATAGAGAGGGTAAAAAGATTGGAAGTTGGATGGAAATCGAAATTAGAAAAAATTAGACTAGGGGAATTGTGAATTATGATAAATGAAATTATCATAATAAAAATTAAAATATTTATTTTAGCATTCTTTTAAGACCCACAAAAAAAGTAGATTAATTTATCAATCTATTTTAGAATAATAAAATATTTTTGAAATTAAAAATGACCACTAATTTGATAATTATGTTATTTATGTTTATCAATCTGAGTTAATCTTATGTTTTTTAAATAAAAATTGTTTAGTCCAAAAAACTAAGAATTTGATAATCTTTAAACTATTAGAAAGGAATTCGAAATCGATTAAGAGGTTTATCTTAGTAATTTATTAACGATCTTTTGCTTGATATCCCCCATTTTCATTTTGATATGATTTTTGAATCCTGGAAAGTAGTATTTTCTTTTGATATTAGAATTGGTATGGTTATATGCGGTGACCTATCTTATATTAAATTACATTTATAGATTGAACTTAAAATGTGAGGTCAAAAAGAAAAAAGATATTAAAATGCTCAATACAGGATGATTAAAATTCATTTGGAAAATTACTATATTTAAATATATATTTTTGTAAGAATATTATTTAACCTAAAATATAATGATATTCATTGAGTCATTACTCATTATTATGATTGGCACTAATTCATTCTATGCTTACTCAACAATTGGTTGAGTAAGATAAATATAGAAATACTACTTTCAAATATTTAGATCATTTTGAAATGATCTGTAGATCCATCCATTAATCTTCTTTTCCATATCTTAAATATATTTTCTATCGGTATGTATTAAGATGATAACATTATCTACATCAAATCTTTCTATAGAGTATATTTAAAAAAATAAAAGTAAAGAAATAAAGAGTATTATAAAAAATTGATTTTCAACCATAAAATATATTCCATCAATTTTGTCTCTTGTTAGAGGAAGAAAAGTTTGAAAATAAAGAATAAATTTGAATTCTTATATGATTATCTCTTAATATTATCTATTTATGAATTCGGTCAATTATTCATTTCATATTCTCTTTTGAGCCTTTCTTATAACTGTCTTTACTCACTTTCCTAGTGATCAAACCTAGGTTTTGTGTTCCTTAGTGGCAGCATTAGAATAGAATAATAATATACATCAAAAATACCATCCCCTCTACCATTGCCCATAATATTATTAATTAATTTTAAATAAAAATACCATATCGATGTTTTAGCTACAATAAATTAAATTTGCTTAAGTATATTTATTTGAAAACTCCTGTTACATAAAGATTGTTAATTTTAACCCTCATAATGCGAATTTCTAATAGAAATATGATGTATTCTCAGATAAAGTATTAAACCATATATATTTTTAGTATTATTTATCTGAACCCTTTCCTCAATATACAAATTATAAAAGAATTGAACGAGTTAATCATATATTAAAAAAATGTTTTAATTAAAGCTTCATTAACATAGAATTAGATATTTTAGAGTCTATTAAAGAGAATAAGTTTATTCTAAGCAATTTATATTATTTCTGCTATCGAATATAATCAATTAAAATACTTGGGATGTTCTCTTACTTGTCAAATTTAAGCACAATAAGTTTTTGAATTTCATCATTATTGTTTAATTTATAAATAAGTTATAAACTATGTAATACTTTACAGTAACACACTCGTTTTTAGAGTAGAGTATTATTTCCAGTAAAGGTAATAATGCTGGTGGATTTTAAATAGATATTGTGAAAATGCGAAGAATATCTTTCCAAATAAGAATTGAATCAACAAGAAGGATGGTGCATCTTTATCAAAGATGTTAATAAAAGACTGTTATCATAAAATTGATTAAGAATTTTAGATACAATTTCATCATCATAAAATTAAATTTACTAAATATATCGGAATTAAAAGTTACTTAATGAGAGTAAATTATATACTTCCTATTAAACTACATTGGAATAAAAGGACATAATTGTAGCAATCTTACTGTGTAATTTATTAGTAATATAAATTTTTAACAAAGATGTCATCCGAAAGAGAGGCAGTTGATTTCAATCTATCTTATTATTAATCATTTTCTTTAGTTAAGAAACTAATATGTATAATAAAAGTTATTGTTTTGTTATAGAATTAGACAAGGATAATTATCTTATTTAATTATGATAAAATGGTAATCTGTAAGTAAACTTTTTTACAGAGGTTAAAATGATAAAATGTTGAAGACTTGAAAATACTAACTAAGGTCAAGATTCTACAAGGTGTTTATTATGTTATTAAAGAGAGAGATCAATATATCAAAAAGTAGATCGACTATGAAATTCTAATCCTATTATTGGTTATTAAAAAATATTATTTTGATTGGAAAATCTAAAAATACTATTTCTAATAGTTTCTTAAATTATTGTTCATTACTATTTATGATTAATAAATTAAATTAAAAGAATTATTTATTATTCTACAGTATTATTGTATAAGTGTTTCTGTTGAACAGGCTGCATTATAAACTCAAAGGTTAAAATAAATAAATTTATATTAATAACAATGAACATAATTTAAATTTTGAATGTTAGTATAAATAAATATGAATAAAAATTGATTATTATAAATAATAAACTATTAATTCAACTTTTCTCCTACTATCCTCTAAGAATATTATATTAATTCAATTCAATTCTGAATGAGAATGAAATGTACATAAGAAACATTTAAGAATCATTAAAGTTGATTAATTTATTCCTTTCGAGATTGTTTATTGCGGTAAGGATATCGCACTAACAAAAATGTATCATTTACTTAAAATGGATAAATAACTAAATAATTTGATGATGTTAATACTGATATTAAGGCATATTCCTAAATGATATTTTTTTTAGATTTTGATTCTTTTTATTTTTATGATTATCATCCTATTATTGCTATTCTTAAATTAGAAAGTTTCATTTTGAACTTTATTTTAATCATTTTAATGCTATTCTAATATTCCTTTTCGTATAGATCATCTTAATGCATTAACATTTACAGTTTAAATAATAATTATTGTGGTTAATTTTTTTTCAATTAATTTTTCTGGATATTAATAATTTAGTTGTTAATCCATAAGAAAATTATAGTTATATATCAATAGCATGTGGATTTGATACTAAAATGAAAATAGAGTTTAGTTTCTTTACTTTGATCCGATAATATTTATTATTTACAATTCCTATGCTGTAACAAAAAAATAAGCAATAAAGTAAAATTCATGGAACTGATTTCGTAATTTTAAACAACTAATTTGTGAATGAATGCAAAATATGTAAAATTACTTATCGGCAAGTTCTAACCATTTTCAATTCTGATGAAGCTGTTATTAATTTTCTTAATTCATTATTGATTAATTCTAATTTAATTTAACTATCCCTACCTTTTTATTAATGATTATTTAAATAAATCATGATGAAAATCAAATAAATTTTTATTATGAAGAATTAGTTCTTCTAAAACTCTATTTATTTTCTATTAAATTAATGACTTCATTATAAGTAATCACAAATGAAGAAATGATAATTCTATAATTTTAGAATTTTGAGTGTTTTAAAACAAGAATTTCAAGCAAATAATAAAATGATGTAATTCCTGTTAAATTTAATTTTGAAGAATTATTTCTAAATTGTTATAACAAATTTCCTTTATTAAGTTAAATCTTTACATTTAATGCATTTAATACATTTTTATCTCAATTTTGTTATTTTTACATCTCTTTATTTGCAAAAATCCTGTTTTAGAATTTTTAGAATATTTAATGGCAATAATTATCATTTAGTGTTAAAAATTGTTGAATGAGCATATTGAAATTGAATTCAGTTACTCATCTAACATACATACCCAAAATATACAGAAAATAATATTTTTATCAAATCCTATTTAATACTATTTCATATGGATATCTAGAATTAGAATATTATAAGTATAATTTTTTAGTTACAATTGTAAATTTTCCAAAAAAATGTTCATTATATGAAGATGCTTAAATTATAATTCTTTATTTGATGTTTAACTTCAACAATTACACCTTACTACATGGCGAATTTTATTTATATTTCATGTATGGTTTCACATTAAGCCATTAATCATAAATGTTAAGGAACATAAGTTTTGTTAATTTTTCTGCAGGAAGAATCTTATTCATAAATAAGAGCTATGAAAAATCTCTGAATATCTTATGTATAATAACATAAATAAGTTTGGAAATTTTTGTATTTCATTCCAAAAAAAATAAGTATTTATGTCAAGATCTCTCCAACAACATCAATAAAATTAATAATTCACTATCAATTTATTTTGTTTCCAAAGACCAGCATTATTTAATTAATATATTCATTAGTTAAGATGATAGAAATTAAATTAATTTTCTTAATAGATGGATCTATAAATTAAAAATACATACTCAGAGTCAACAACTTAGAAACAAAACTTCAACAATGTTTATGTCGATAAGTGGGATTTAAGCTAGTAGAGATTTATAAAAGTTTAAATCCAAATTAAAATGACATAAGATAATTATATCATGTACATCTATGATGGAAGAGTATTAAGAACGTAAATTATTTCTGATTATCTTTGAAAGTGAATAAATTGAAGATGATTTTAAGAATGAAGAAATATTAACAAATATGGAAAAAATCAAACATTTTTAATGGTAAGGTGAATTTGGGCAAAAAAATAAAAAAACAGGGAAGTGGATAGCTATATGGAATGGAAATGTTCTTTAAGAAGTTGGTGGGTACTACTAGAATGGCTTAAAGGAGGGGCTATGGAAAGAACCCATTATGAAATATTCCAAGTAAATATAAATTAAAATCATAATTATATAAAGCAAAGCATAGCTATATGAAGTTGGTGAATATTTAAATGGGAAGAAAAGAGGGAATTGGATATATATTTACAATAACAAAAAAATGTATTCATTTTTTATGAATTTTATAGTAAGGGTGGATAATACAATGAGTACGGCTAAAGAACTGGTAAATGGACATATTTAAATGATGAGTTTCATAAAATATCTCAAGTTGCTTATGATGGAGAATATAAAAATGGTAAAAAAGTTGGCTAATGGGATATTTGGTATAAAGATTACAATTAGAATAAACTTAGATAAATGTAAATATTTTAAAAATATTATATCTATATATAGTGGATGTGGCTTATATGATTCAACAAATGATGGGTATAAAAATGGGAGATGGATTGAATTAAGCGACCAATTTAGAATGGATTCTTAAATCACTCTTGATGGTTAATATAAAAATGGTAAGAAAGTTGGTAAATGGAATTTTTATAGGAAAACTTATAATGATTTTGAAAAGATGTAATAAATATTATCTCAAAATATAATAGTGGAGGCGGATAGTATGATGAAGGAGGAGATGAAATCAAAATAAATCAATGGGTTGAGTTGAATGAGGAGTTTAAAGATGACTGTAGAGTAACTTATAAAGGTGAATATCATAATGGTAAAAAAATTGGTAATTGGGATGTTTTGTATTTTGGAAAAAAAATGTAGAATTATATGAATAAATATTTATGTCCATAAATTTAGAGGTGGAGGAGTATATGATAAAAGAGGTAATGGGTGTAAAATTGGAAATTGGATCGAATTGATCGAGGGGTCTAATGATATTCCTAAAGTCACTTTTATTGGTGAATATTAAAATGGTATAAAAGTTGGTAGATGGGATATTTTTAATTTTAATAATAAGATGTAAATTATTGTATGAAATATTATGTTGGAATGTTTTAGTGGTGGTGGATTATATGATGAAAGTAACAATGGATGTAAGATCGGGAGATGGGAAGAATTTGATTATTTATCATAAATTACTTGTCAAGGTAATTACAATAATGGTACAAAAGTGGGTAGATGGGATATTTAATGGAATTTAAAATCCAATTCATAAAAGTAGGATTATTAGATATTAAAAATGTTTAGTGGGGGGGGATCGTATGATGAAGGAAGCAATGGAATGAAGAATGGTAATTGGATCCATTTGAGTGAAGATTTTGTTGATAGTTATAGATAATATAAATTTATAGAAGTTGGTGAATATAAATTTGGTAAAAAAATTGGTAGATGGGATATTTTTTATAGAGGGGAAAAGCTAATATAATCTACAGTATTGTAAAGATATATTTTCAAATATTATTTTATAATAGTGCAGGTGGTTCATATGACGATGAAGGGAATGAGTGTAAGATAGGGAAATGGACAGAGTTAAGTGATTAATTTGAGGGTATTTCTTAAATTACTTATGTTGGTGATTATAAAAATGGGAAAAAAGTTGGTAGATGGGATATTTGGTGTCATAAGAATATTATGGAAAAAAAAAAGGATAAAATTTAATATTAAAAAACATTAATTGGTGGTGGATAATTTGATGAAGTAGGTAATTAATGTAAGATTGGAAAATGGACTGAGTTGAGTTATGATTTTTCAGATTTATATTAAGTCAGTTACAAAGGAGAATATAAAATAGGTAAAAAAATAGGTTTATGGGAAACTGAATATAAAGGAGTATAAGTGTATAAAATATTATGAAAAATTATTTAGTGGTGGTGGATCGTATGATGAAGAAGGATATGTCATTAAAATTGGTCCATGGATTGAGTTGCACAATATGTTTTCAGATAATTGTTAAATTATTTACAAAGGTGAATATTAATAGGGTAAAAAAGTTGGCTCTTGGTTGGAAATGAAGAGAAAGGCATATTAATTAGATTTTAAAAGAGGAAAAGTGATAAAATATGATGATTGAATAATATTTTTTTTAATATAAATAATACAGATTATAAATTAATAAATTATTAAAATATATTTCAATTTTTGGATATTTCTTTTAAACTTTTTCTTCTTCTATGTCAACAAAGTTAGAGTTTTTCCTTAAAAGAATTTTTTCATAAGACAATTTTAACTCAAATTTTGAAATCCTTTTTATACGAATTACACTAATTCCAACTTATTTTTTTTAATAGACTTTAAGAATTCACATTTTCTTAATAGTAATCAAGAGCTTAAATATATGGTGCTATTTCTTAAATTTGGATAATTCATTAAATAATAGACATAATACTTAAGTTTACATTTGATAGAGATTCCTTAATTTTTCATATTTATGAATTTTATGATTGATTAGACAGGTCTAAGAAATTTTTAGAAATTATTGAAGATTAATTTATTTTGATATATATTTTTTAAAATGATCCTTCTAAAACTACAAATTGTCTTAGCATCTAGAGGTGATATTGCTTAACTTGAAACTAATGAAGTATACATATCTAACACACCTAATATTATGTTAATTGAGAGTGATACAAATAATTATTCAAATCTTAAATACTTTAGTTTGAGCATAATTAGTGAAATAATAAAAGTATCATATTAGGGAGAAGAATAAATCATTTCATCATTGATAGTCGATCTAATTAAGATTGAAACTTACACGCGAGAGTTATTTTGTAAATTGCTAAAGGGTTAAAATTATTTTATTGTTAAATTAATTCATATTATGGATTTTAAGTTATATCTATTTATTTTAAGAATATTATTTGATTTGAATTGTTATTGTGAAAATATTTACTATACGAACTAAATTGATTCATTAATATTTAATCCTTCAATGTAGAGTGATGATATTTGTGAAGAATTTTATTTAAATGATCCTACAGAATTTTTATTTTTCTGTTTTAATTCTTATTTGCCAATATATGTAGTGTCAAATTTAATAATACAACTATTTTAAATTTAAGTTATTAGAGGAATTTGGAAGAATATGCTAAAGTTGGGATATTGAAAATAATTTTAAGTTTAGTTAAGAATAATAAAAATAGGAATATTGAATAATAAGACATTAACTTAAATATTAGACTATTGATAACAATAACAATAATAAATGAAGAGCATTCTTAAAAAGAGGAATTCAGGGGAACCTGCAATTGAATAAGTTAAGTCTAGTTTAAGTAAAAATTTGTATCATATAACTTTTTTACCCAATCAGTAAAATTTTATAAGCAGTAATGCTTGGGTACACGATTTATTTTGGCAATAACCATTTGTTTTTAACCACAGTTTTTGGTTTCAGAGTAAAGAAATTTTCGATATCATTTTTTCAATCCATTTGACTGATCTTTCTCTAAGTTTATTACACTGGCATAAACACCTACGAAGAACCATCCAAAACTTTACTGCCACGATGAGCCAATCAATTTGTGGGTAGCTCAGTAATCATCTTCTTTTCTTGTATCACCTATTGAGCATAATCATTCCTATTTATCCCAAAAAGAAAATCTAATGAATCCCGATTAGACTAAGGCACATAAGCATGTGACTTCTCGATTCTTGGAAGTTTAAAGCCATCATTGATTTTTGTTTATTTAAAAATTTCGCTAATATCGACAGCTAATTTATTTTATAAATATTTTATTTTTCAAATCTACTTTTGTATTTGTCCATATGAAACAAATAATAATGATTATTTATGATATACATATAATACTTTCAAATATATTAAAATTTTATCTATTATAATACCAAAAGTTAAATAACAAGTACAAAAAAATCATATCAATCTATAGAATTCCTTAAATCCCCCAAAAAAGATTCTCAAAATTATATGCTATTGTGGATAATATAAATAAATTATATTATTTAATATTATCTATTAAATAAACAGTTGAATATTCATTTAAGAAGAACAATAGTTTCATTTATTTCTAAAATAGCTTTTTTAATCAATAAATAAAAAGTATTAAAGCTGAATTCAAACATAAATGTGTAATTATTTTTATATAAAATTAATTCTTTATTTTGAATACTCTATGAGACATAATCCCTATATGTATAAATCGAAAGTAGTAATTGATATAAAAAAAATAAAAACAGATAAATATAAGTATTTCTTTAATGAAATCATCATAACAGACTTTCTATTAATTTACAAAATATTAAGATTCTTACTCAAATTTCTTATTGACTCTTTAAAAAACAATTTATAATACTTGATCAGTTCTTATTCAATTCAAAAACCATTAAATTTGAAGAGGACCATGGGTCCCAAATAGGAATTATCATTAAACTTTATTGAAAGTTAAGTTTACAATCTAGAGACCTATATAAATAGATTGAGATTACCAAAAATATTTTGCTAAATGATATACATGCTATTTAATATTTTTGTATATCCAAAACATATACATAAATTATTTAGTAAGAAATTTTTACTTCTTTTTCTATTAATATTATTGGTATTTAATTAATTTTAATTTCTACTACAATTAGAATGCAACTAAGAGTTAGAGCAAATAAAAAAGAGTACTTTGATTTTTCAAATATATCAAATGCGAGGATAAATCATTTATATGTAGGAAACACTTTTTGGTCCAATTTAATAAGATTGCAAATTAATTAATAAAAGATAATCAAGTCAACTTAATAAATTATATAAATGAGTTCATTATATAGTAATCTGAAAACAAGATGAGAAACAATAAAATAAAATAAAAAATATAGAAAGTGAAACCTAATTAATAATAAGAAAAGAATGATGCCCAATCCTTTATAGAATAAAAAATATAATTTTCAAGCTCATTCTTATTTTATTAATTTTTACAACAGATTTCTTAAGTAGGATGTGGTATACAATAATAATTAAAAATTGAATTCAAATGAATTGCAAAAGCAAATTTAAAATGTTGAAAAGAAATTTAAGAAGAAGTATATAAACACATAAAATAATAATGAATGAGATTAATTCGTAACTTATATTAGAAGAACCGAATTTAGATAATATGATCAAATATATAATGATTAATAATATCTTTTGGGTTATTTTACGAAAGATAAAGGAAGATATGAGGATTATAAAAATTCAGTCTTAGTTAATTTTGCTGATAAAAATGTAGATGGCTTAAGTTTTGATCCTGTAAACTTAGCTTAAGAGGAAGTAATTATTTCAAATTATTGTTTTAATAGGTTTTGATTTTAACACATCCTGAAGCACTTATAAGCATGTTATTTATGGAAACTATGGATGAAAATGAAGCTATTCTTATTAAAAATGTATTTAGATTTAAAGATTATGATAGATATGGATAGACATTTAGATAAAAAGATGAAGATTATTTTAAATAAATTTAGCAAAATACGAAAATTATAAAAAATCATTTTTGAGTAATATTTCATAATTAATATCATTATGCTTTAAGAATTGGTAAATGTCATTTGACCAAGTTTATATTAATAGAGAATTGACTAAAAGTTATGTTGCGTTTTCATTAGCACTTGATTACACAAATAATGAAAATATATCAACTAGTAAATGGGGTTGTGGAATATTTATTGGGGATTTTTAATTAAAGTTTTTGATTTAATTACATGCATTCTCAATGGCATTGTAAAAATATGAATAAAACAAAATGTAAGACTCCAAAAATAAGAGAGAAAGAATTCTAATTTTTAGTTCCTTTCATAATAATTAGTTTGATGATTTAATTTACTCTTATGAAAATGCCTTAATGAAAAAAGTTTAAAAATTTTGCAAAACAATAATTTAAGAGATTGAAAACTTAAAACAATAAAATAATAATGGTCCTAATTGATAATCTAGAAAAAAAGATATTATAATAAATAATTACACAAGTATTAATAAAAATCAGAATTAAAAATGTTTGATGGTTATTGTAGGTAAAATATGTAGCCTAAACGTGTTCTTTATAATAAGGCAGATTTGGAATGTTGCTTTCCTAGATAAGATTTCTATTTATAAGGATTACAATGTTCTCTATACAAATGCAATAAATATCCACAATCATGTATATTCTATTTACATGGCTATAATGGATCAAGATTAAAGGCTGTCTGATATGCTTTCTATGTATGTAGAAGTGATTTTGATTTTTGTTCATTTGAGTTTTAGGCAGCTGGATAGTCCTAATGAGACTTTGTAACTTTTGGGTAATTAGACATTTTTATGAAGTTTAAAAGAAAAGGAAAACATAGCATTAGTAATTCAATTTTTGAAAGAGAAATATTTTCATATTATTTTGTGGGGAAGATCGATTGGAGCTACTACAGCCTTGATGTATACTCAAAAAAAGTGAGAATATAAAATGTTTGGTTTTAGATAGTCCATTTTTAATTTTGGAAGATGTAATCATAAATTTAATAAAACTAAACTACGCACTCCAAATATAATAAATAAAGGATTATATGAATTGATAAGAAGTATAAAATCTTAATAATTCAGGATGCATTGCAAAATTGTATCAATTTTGCCTATAAATTTAAATATCACTTGTCCAATGCTATTTTTAGCATTAAAATAAGATAGTCTAATTCCTTAATATCATTTTGATAATATTTAATTGATATCCAGGGCATTAGAGATAGGTAGTTTTTTGATGTAATCACAACGAATAATAATTGAATTTACATAAGCTATGACACCCCAAAGTCGATTCAGTCCAATCAAATATCCTAATCGGTTATTGGGTGATTTGGATGAGTAAAAATATATAGCAACAGGAATTCATATAAAGTAAAAAAAATAATGAGAAATTAATCAGCATCTTCTCATAATAAGATTCGGCTTAGATCGAGAAGGATAAGGTTTTGATTTAATTGTCTAAACTTAAATGATTTTATTATAAATACTTATTACTTTTATTTTTTATTATAAAATTTATAAATAAAAAAATTTATTCATCTTTTATTTTTGGAATTTAAGATTATCATATCTCGAAAATAAGTAAAGCTAAATTAGAATTCTGATATTCATTGACTTTATTGGATAATCAAATTGATGATCTAATTTACTTATTATGTATTTTCTGCCGGATTCTCAATTTAGTATTAAAAGCAGAACAAAACTTTAAAAAGTCATTCATTTATAATTACATTAATTTTAATATTGAACATGGTCCATTTGATTGGATAATCAATATAGATATCAAATCTAAAAGTAATTTGAATGACCATAATATATATAAGATTTCAATATTTCACAATTATATAACGAAAATTCATTAATATTTTTAATCCAATGATGATCCTAATCTTAGTTATCAATGTAATGAAAATTTGTTCTGAAAATGTTACAGAGTTGGCAATTGCTTTGTACCCAACAGTAGGAGAATTTTATGAATATCATATGGAGAGTATTTTACCATCATCCTAATTAATTTGCAAAATGCATCCTTAAATTCCAAATGTGAAAGTAGTCAATTAATACGAAGAAATATACAAAATATAAGGGAATTGTAAGTCATTAAGATTATTATTATAGCATATATATCAATGTCATCAAATAATACACATTTTGGTACATTATCTAATAATAATGAAGTAATTATATATGAATGGAAGAATTAAATGATTCAATAAGTTGGATTATCTATGTCTATTGATATTTTGTATAATTGTTTTAATATCAATTTGTTTTTAAATTATACAATCTTAGTAGATTGTTATTACAACAATGAAATCTTATTTATTTAATTAATAGATGGATAATCAATAATTGCTTATTAAAATTAATCAAATTTACCTACTTCAACTAAGATATAATCAATTGTAAATGGAACAAATACTTTTATTGTATATGCCTAATATTTTAAGGATTATTCAATACTTACACTATTTTCATCATCTTTTTTTAATTTAAGTAGTTTATAGAACTAATTTGTCGATTTTGATATACCAATTACAATAAGTGCCAATATTTATGCAATTACTTCTTCAGTGTTATACTAGTTATCCATATCTTCAGATTCTTAATTTAATTTTATGTATAATTTTAGCGATCTTGGCTATATGAATAATTTTACAACTATTAATGTTTATTACAATTTTTAGAACTACTCTTAATGTGATTAAATATTGTTATTATTTAACAAATGGTAGAAAAACTCATCAGAATTTAAAGTGGCTAAATTATTGGGATGTGAAAGTTAAATAATGTTATAAAATAATAATTGCCCATTTAACAATTGTCAGTTTATTGAGAATATACTCTAAAATGCTTAATTTATAATCTATAAATCAATTAATGAAACGGCTATTTTGTTTTAGGAAAAAACATAAACATATTACTTTTATCAAAATAATCAAAACAATTAATTATTATATCTCAATAATGATAATGAATTATTTTAATTTGATAAAGAAATTGTTGTTTATTAAATTTCACAGCCATCCATATAAATCAATTTGACCAATTCTGAATCTCCACGAAATTAATCCTGCTTTAATTTAATGTGTTTCAATTATAATGAGACTTATAATATTAGTCAAATTAATATATATCTTTAAATACTATCGTAGTAAGATACAAATATTTATGTAATGTATAATTAAGGGTTTACTAATTTATAATTATGGTAAAGTTATTCTCAAATAGTTGGCTTTTATGGTTATTCAGGTTAATTATTACATTATACTTTAAATAAAAATGAACCCTATTTTAATTTTAATCCAATAACTTTCTCAAATTTTGGTAAAATTGCCTAGACTTATAATCTTATATAAATTTTATCATTAATGTTCTAAACAGCCTAACGATATTTAATAGGATATAATAATTAACAACTTGATAT